ATGAAAATAAACAATAATTCGGCTTAGATTATAATTATAATTTGTCCTAAATATATTACATATAATTCTGATGTGAGGTTTGTTTCAGTAGCTATAAATAAGTTATTTTTCTGATAAACTTTTTAGCGAAATTTACAGAAGTTTTATAAAAGTAAAATATTTTTTAAATGTTCACTTGAAATGTTTTAATTCCAATAGAACTGAAAACTGAAACTGAAAACGATAAACATTTCAGTGATACCTAACTTTTAATTTTTTTTTTTTTTCATTTCCAGGACTGGTATGGAATATTTCTGTTATATTTGACTGATATTAAACATTGTGTGAAAAAAATATTGTAAAACAAATGTGTAAGAAATTTTTCATTTTTATTTATAAACGATAACATAAAACTCTTAAAAAACGAAGGGTAAAGTATAATTTCATAATAAAAATATAAAACTTTCTTAATAACATTCAGCTCTTTGGCTTGTTTAAAGACAAATGATATATATTGGAACCACTATTTTTTTTTTTTAACACGAATCGGTAAGCAAGGGCTAAGCGAATATCATTTCATGTTCTTCTTCACACCTTCCGCCTTCATTCTACTCTAATACTCTTTCATCTTCCTGGATCATTCCTCTCGCTCTTCCTTAGTCCATTTTCTCCCTCCTCCCCAGAAGAACCACAACCTCTTTTAGTTTTTTTCACAAAAATTTCTCTATTCAAGCATTCCTTATCCGTGATGTTTAGCCTATCCTTTTATTAACATATCTCCCCATACTTTTATAGCTGCAGACTTTATTGAAAATTTTCTTGTTCACTCTCTCATCCTCCATACTGACTATGTGCTCGTAGAACCTCAGTCTCCTGATCCTGATGACTGTTTCCAGATCTTCCAAATTCCAATATATTTCTTCATTGGATTTTCACCTATACCCTTCTGACGTTATTTTGGGTCCGTGAATCCTCCTCAGAATTTTCCTCTCAACATTTTAACCACTAGGAACAACCTCTAGAAATACATTATTAATTTTAAATATTTGAATAGATATTTTTTTGTAGTTCTTATATGCAATTTATTTTAGTTGCGACTTAATAAGCTTGTTTTAAAAATAAAAAATTAAATATGCTCCATACGGTTCAATAATTTTACTTATAATTTAAAAGCTAAGATTAACTAACATAAAACAAATATACAATATATAAAAAATAAAAATGATAACGTGGACAGAAATAATAGATAAGGCAAATTAATTTTATTTATTTATTAATTATATTTTCTTCAAAATGCATCTTGACTAGAAATTTTAAAGTCTTAGTCATTTTAAGTAAATATCAGAAAAACTTAGTATAATTATCAGATATCAAAAGTGCAGTTATTTCGTTACATAAATATGAAAATTTGATTTCGGCCAAAGTGTGTTTTATTTCTGATCATATTCCAGCCAATACTTATTTTTTGTCAATGTTTAACTTTAAATTTGGAGATAGATTGTGCTAAATGCATTATTTAATTACCTTTAAGAAAGCGAATTATTATTGCAGTAATGTATAGTAAAAAGTAAGTATGAACTATGAAAACTATGCAACGATTTTTTAACAGGTTTTCTTCAAAATGTTTTAACACGGGTTGTACAGACAGAGAATTATCCAGCTGAAACCTACAATCACTCTAACAGATCCAACCATCAATTAAAGACTCAGTGAAAACACTTATTAAAAAACAAACAACTTAATTGCAGACAGCTGATGTAATAATTACTTAAGATTCGTGACGATAATACGTGGGTTGTTAGGTATACTAAATTAATACATAACACCCTGACAAATTAAATTTATAATTATAATTTGAATACATAATTTAATTATAATAAATGAAGAGTTGAATGAAAAAAATAAGATAAGAAAATATGAATTTCAAGAATATTGTGACTATATTTGGAATTAAATTATATCAATATCTCAGACGAGTCCGAAGAACGTCTTGATAGGAAGTAGGAGAGAATAAAAAATGCATACAATTGCCTTACCAACTGAAATCAATACCGCCTTACTATAATTAATATGAAATCTGCCTGCCGACTAACTACCGACGGTAGCAACGGAGATTTAAATGCAGGCTCGAATAAAGAGCCTAAATAAAATCGTGAGGATTTTTGAAACGTGCTAACGAAAATGGTATATTGAAGCTTGGTTTATTTGCGTTTTTATTATTACTAAATTATTATTTACTATTTTTATTATTATTTACGTTTTTATTATTATTTACGTTTTTATTATTATTTACTAAACAGTTTTTATTATTATTGCGTTTTTACTATTATGGAATAAAAATATTGAAATCACGATATTAAATGAATACATTTTTTATATTTTTCTAGCCATATCTTTTATGTTCGGTGCCATTTTTTAAAGTTTTTATAAAATATTAGGCCAGAGGTCACCAAATGTACTCAGTTTATTTACATCCTGTATTCTTTATTTGACGTTTCGGCTTCAGGAGTCATTTTCAAGATCCTGCAAACATGTACTGCTTCAAAATTTTCTAAATTGTATCATTATAATATAATTCGTCTTTTTGTCATTCCTTTCTCTCATCGAATGTATAAAACGACATAACACTTCTCTTTCCCATACGATATTAAAAATGTTCCTCCTCACTAACGCATTCATACCCAACTCTTATATTTTTTATATCCTGGGCTTGAAATAAAATATTGAACATTATTCTTAATCGGATTCGGTATGCCTGGAATATTATTTATTTTTTATTTTTGGTTTCGTAACAAGAACTCATCTCTTGCAAATTTCCAAGCAAAAGTTTTACATAAATTAAAAAAACTCTAAATTTAAAATTCTGAAATCACCAAAAAGTCGGACTAAAAATATTTTTTAATCATTGCTACTCAAACAAACAAAACATCAGAACTATTTAATTTTTTAAAAATTTTTTTAAAACTTTTATTATGATATTTACAACTGTATTAGTATGAATACATCAAGTAAATGTGTACATAGGAATATTATCACATGAAAAACTCTTGTTGAGAAACTACCCATTGGTAGCACTCTATTTTTAAAGATAAATTATAATTCTTAATCTATGCATAATTACTGTTTATTTATCGTTTAACGTTTTGCTAAAAAGTTTCACAGAAACGTTTACCATGGAACTTTTTAAAAAAGTTTCAGATGGGTTTCTAGTCTAACCATTCTTTCCTTAGGCATAAGAATTTAAAAAAAGCAATCTAACTGAAATATTACACATTTTTTTTACACATAGTACACATCTTTTTTATTAAATAATTTATGTCTACAAAATTATACTAACAATCTTCAAACGAAAAATTATGATGCGTTGCTTTTCAAGAATGTGACTACTCGTATTTCTTATAAAATCATGAGATTCAACTTATCTGTTTTTACAAATCATCAAAAAAATAATAATCAATGTCTATTTTCGTTCATTATGTTATGAAAAATCTTTTGGTTAAACATTATACATTATATATTATAAATTAATTTATATATATATTATTTTCTTTATATGTATTATTCTTATTTAGGGCTTATCAATATTTTTGATAAGTAACTTGTATTAAATATATCGAATACATTACGTTTATTTCATCTTCGTTCCATGACTTTATTCATGTTCAAAGCTACCTTTATCGATTTAAATGAATCACATAAATGAACTGAGTGGGGCGGCTAAATTGTGTAGACTGTGGTGTCTTAACTTTGTAGCCCTGTTTTTAATCTGGTTGAGACAGCTTGTTTAAGTAAAAACTTCGTTAGGCGCGTTTTATGCAGAGAGTAAATAACATCGATCCATCTGATCTCCGATGTGTAATACTCGGATAAAGTCGAATAATTAAAGTGTTTTAGCATATGGACTATAATATCTCAAAACTAAAAATCGTTAGAACCATCTATATTGTTAGAAAGAGAAATTTTAATAATTTCATCCTCTCAGTGATGGGATATTATTCAAAATTGTAACGTTACATGACGCCGTGTTGGAGAGGCGGAAAGGGAATAGTGTCGAAAACCAAATGAATACGAGTTTTATTGAAGATATGGAATACAATATCTCAGAAATTAAAAATCTGACCTGCATACTGTAAGCGAGGGAATTGTTCAGCATTCCATCCTCTCTGTAAATGGCTATTATTTTTAATTTATATTTTATATTATTAACCTCACTTTGTTGTTTTCACTTCTGTTGTGTATTCTAAGGCACATACCTTAGTATTTTTTATTATTATTAGTCGTGGATCGAATCTTTTATTAGACCCTCCTGAGGCATATTCCATCAAGAGGACCCTCGTTGAATGCTAGGAAACACCTCACAGATTGGAAGTCAGATCACTTTCTTTCGTAAGCTCTTATCGAACCCAGCAGCTCTCGTCAGGCTACAGAGACGCAGGTTTTATTATTGATTGTTATCAATGCTTATTGAAAAATAAATATTCTGTTCTTAAAGTTAAGAAACAATACTAAGATAATCACTAAAATAAGAAAAAAGCGGGAACAGCAGAGCTTCGTGACTGAAGTATTTTCTTATTATTATTGTAATTTACTGATTTAATGAATACAAAACGGAGTGGGGTAGTTGAGTGGTAGGTAACTGAGCTTCCACTGTTAAAGGTCCCAGGTTCGAACCCCGGCTCATGGCAGAAAATTTATTTACCTGTTCCATTGGCCGTGGGGCGACCGTGGGTCAGGAGAGCCTCCAGGGGCACACCCAGCCTCTATAAAGTGGATACCCTTAATTAAATAATTATTTGAAGAGAAAAACCTGGCGGTTGAGCGTGATATCGGTCAAATCATCTCCTTGCACAACCGTTGACCTAGAAACAGTACTTTCCCTAAATAGTACTGAATCCTAGACCCTTCATGGCTTGTAGTGGTACAGGATTTTTTCTTTTTTTTTTTTATTTATACAAATTTAGTGTGCTATGGTTAGTTCTATTTTCTATTACTACAAACTAATAATATTTGGAATTTCTTACCGTTCCGAAAAAGGAAAAGAGGAATATGTCGTCGTTGAGCTTCTTGAGCCCTTTGGGGTTGGCCCTGATCATGGTGCAGATGGCTTTGGGCCCGAAGTCGGTGGAGGAGCAGTTGATGGGAACTCCCCTGAACAAGATATCCATCACCTTGGCAGTGAGGAACACAGTGCTCGGGCTGTTGAACAGCGCCGGCAGTGCCTTGCTGATCATCGGCAGTGCCCCTGGCTTCTGCTTCTCCACGGTCAGCACCATGCTCTGCGGGCAAACCAGTCAAATGAGAATTAAAGCACTTGTAACAAAATAAAGAAAAGAAAACAGTTGTAATCACAATAATCATTTCTATTAAATTAACACTAACACTTAACACTTAATGCATTATCACAGCCGTATATAGGGTAAAGCACCAATTACTGACAGTGTATCAATACCAGACATCCTCCTCGAAAAATGGGAATAATAAAATTTCTGGTCCTTCTAGACCTCTATATCATATATTTTTTTAAAGGTTATACGAGCTTTTCCAGGGTCAGGGAGTGTGGGCGGGGATTTAATTGTCTCCCTCGGCACCGGGAGGCGAACTATTTTCCTCCTTTTATATCTGTCTGCTTTACTTTAGTCATACCTCAAATTACAACCAAAATAATTATTGAAAAATTAGATGTGTCTCTCGTTGTCCTCTTGGAACAGCCATCTGTCAGTAAGAGCACCATGCCATTTTCTCTTCAACTACTCAGATTTATCCCAATATTTTTGTTTAATTATTTTTTTTGAGTGTTTTAAATTATATTTTAAAAATACAATCATATAAATAAATTATTTTTTACCTGTTTATAACTTATATTGATGAAAGAATTAGATATTTAATGGGTGTCAGCTACAGGAGCCTTATAACGGGGACTTTTGACAGTAGTTGAGAGGTTGAGAGGATAATGGGTCTTAAAAATGGGACCATTCACTTCTGTCTGGTGAAAAATAAAATTTCTAATGATTTGGATTAAATATACAGCAAAAATAAGTTTTCCTGTTGCTAAGAACAGTTAATTGACAGTGATCAGTATCTATTGTTAAATTTAAGTCGGGAAACCAAAAAAGTTAATTTTATAATAAGTTAAAAGTAATTTTAGTTAATTTTAAAATGAATAATATGAAATTTCTCTTAATTAAATCCTTTTTATCATCTCTGTCAGCTATAGGAACATTTCAAATCAAACAGTGTCAATTACTGGTACAAAAAACCATTCACTTAGTTTTCAATATTTTAAAATTTAGATAAATAGTTTATAGACTTTAAATATGTCTTGGTAAAGTGAGAAATAGTTCTGTAGTGTTTGGTTTTATCGAGATGGTACTTCATACGACCATGGTATGACTCTGAAGCATTGCGGGCAGATATTTCGAAGCCTTTATTAATTGTAGGAACACGATTAAGAATCGGAAAATCCGGAATAACCCACGAATAATTTTGTGAAAAACGGGACATACTTCAATGCAATTCCTGCGGGGTCTTGCATTTCTTGACAGTTTCTTATGTATAGGAAGCTCATAAGACGTTCGCTGCCTACAACCAGTTATCTGGTCAACGTGTTAGTTACTAGTCAATTTCTAGAAGGTTTTTGTTTTACCTACGATCAAACTCGTAGTATTTTCATGTTCTTTGAAGGTATCTGGACTTTAAGATGGGCATGCTGGAAACGTTTTTAAATTTTCATCGGCAACGGAAGTGTTAATTGAAACATGACTATTAGTACTGCACAATCTTGAAAAATAACATGAAGATGGATTGTTGTCGTTTCTTGAAAACTTAACTGTATCTATTTTTTTTTTTTTTTTTATATAAATATTTCGATAACTTCAAATTTATTATTAATTTCTTAAATTTTCTGTAATTTATTTGTTTTGTTTTCTTAAAATTTAAAATAAGACCTAGATTTTATAAGTGCTGAAATGACCCTTGAAATGAAAATCTCGCATTGCTGTATAAAAAAATAAATTTGGAAATTTTATAATAACGTTTCAAAACTTTAATATCGTTTACATTTATTTCATTTTATTAGTGCTACTAAATAGAAACTAATCTGTAAATAAATTGAAAAAAAACAAATTATCAAACTCTCAATATTTTAAAAATATACATACCAGCTATACCTAGAATTAAAAAAACCTTTGTCGATGTAAAAAGTTAAAATGAAATGATATTTTATAAATAGTGGTGTTTGTTTTAATAGTTATAAATTGCTTTTTGTTTTCTAAGTCATATATTATAAAATACTGTGAAAATTATTACTGTTAAATATTTAAAAAACTGAAATGATAAGGAATAATGTCAAAATTTTTGCTATTTGTATCATCATAAGTGGGTCCACCCTTATTAAGGGAAAAAAAAGTAGTGACAAAATTGTCTGCTTAAAAAATCAACTTTTTTTGTTGTTAAGTGATAAAAATTATACTTCTTGTCCAACAAAATTTATGCTTCAATCTTAAAAATTGATGCCGTTTGTGTTGACTTAAAATATTCTGTGGTCAGGAGACCCTACTGGGGCATACCTAGGCTCTATAAGGTGGGTACCTTTAAATAAGCAATTAACTAAGAGGAAAACATGACGGTTGAGCGTGATCTCAGTCAAATCTCCTCATTGAACAACCGTTGACCAAGAAACAATACTTCCTAATAAAGTACTGAACACAATACCCTTCATGGGTTGTTGTGGTATATTTAAAAATATATAACCAATTAATAACGTTAATTGAGTTAAGCCCCACCAGTTTTAATAATTATTTGTATAATTACAACCTTCATCATCTATTACCATCCAATTAGCAATTAAATTTGGACTAACCTGCCTGAGTCATACTGGTCCTAGTACTGAAATCCGAGGGATAAATATTAGCCGACCCAGGTGGGAATCGAACCCTTAACGTTCAGAACCGGGCAGGCACCCCAATCACGTCCTCTGTCTATCTCTTACTCCTCCATGTAATACTGAAACCTTATCTAACAAAGCCTACCATGTTTAACCAAAACACCTTACGTGGTCAATACAACTATTTAAAACCCATTTTTAAAAATTAAATTACGTTGGCTGAGGGATCTCCTTCCTCAGCCAATCAAAGTAATTGAAACAAGTTAGGGATGAGGTGCTACAGAGTACTTTCGTTCCCCGTGCCTGAATGTCATTTATGTCTCATATTTCCAGCTATTGTTGCCCAAAATAGATCTTGGTCTTGTACTTTGCAAGGCCAGACTAACACCGCCTCACTGTTACAAGACTAAGACCAAGACTGGTAAAAAAAATCGATTTTTTGAATAAAAATTAAGGCCAAATTTAAACTAATACTTGACAATTTTAGTTTCTATATGTAGAGAATTGGTATAACCTATATACTTTTTAATTTAACTCTTCTAATTTTTCATTCTGGCTTAGCTAGGTTTCCCCTATCTAAAGAAATACAATAATAGCTCTATAGTACTAAGCTATTAAGTAACTGCAAGACCGTTATGAGACTCTTGCTCAAGACCAAGACCTAGACCATGGCTGAGTTTGCAAGACCAAGATTCGTCTCGGTCTCGCATTTGGGCACCACTATTTCCAGCACATTTGCTGATTGTTAAAGGAAGGTTGTTGACAGGCACAGATAAAATTGTCATAGCAATAGCAAAAAAAAATACTGTTTTTTTTTTCTAATTTGCATTATCACCAACCAGCCAAAAGCTTATAATATAAAAATTAACATTTTATTCACAGGGAAATTTCTTAGTTGATTGTATTTTTAAATAAAACCACCTGTTCCTTTTAATTTAAATGTGTTTTATTTTTATTAACTTATAATGAATTAATTCTTGTTGAGCACAAAGTACTATGACGGAATCCAGATTATTTTTAAAAGCCAATGATACTTCAGGGTAGATGCAAACAAGAGAGAGAAACTAAAAATTACATTATTTAGAACTAATTTTTTAAAAATTAATTGTGATTTATAATTGGAAGAATATTAATATTATCGTTAATTTTAAGATAAAATGTAAATTACTAAATTTGGTTATTAGTTCATCAAAGGATGAGTATGTGTTATTGTACACAGAGAAGGTATTAGTATTCATTATATAATTTTTATTCATTATTTATATGAAAATAGTAATAACATCTATTTATTGGTGAAATTTATTAAAACGTTGTTTTTCTTTTCTTTTCTTTTTACGATATACCAATACCAGACTTTCTACTTTACTTATCAGGTTAGAAAGAAGTCAGTGGAAAGGAAAGTTTTGAAATGTTCAATAACGAGTCTTCCAATAGTTTGGGAGGTCGTTATTCATGGCCACTTCCCTATAATAGGAAAAAAAAACTTTTTCATCACATTATTTAACGAGATATACATTTCTATGATAAAAAAATATTGCATTTCCCTATCGTTGTTATATTTATACATTCGAGAATGGTCAAGAAAATATTTTTAAGATATAACCTTTCATTAGAATATGTTAAGCTGCGTTTAGATACTTCACAAACTATATAAAACAAAATTATCTAACTCAACTCTATGTGACATTAGCACTAAGCCCAACATTTTTTTTAATTTCCCCTATTAGCAACAGCAGATGAAAAACATCAAAAATAAGAAACAAAAGCATTGAGAAAAAAAGATTTAAATATTTCTGTTTCACATAGCTTGTGAAATTTTTAAACGCATCTTTATGATTATAATAAAAACAAAATATACTATTTCAACAACTGTTTATAAAGAAAAATAAAATATTGGGTACAAAAATAAGTGCTAATATATCATTGAGTGGCTTCATATTAAAGACTGACATGTGTCATTTCGGAACGCGAAGAAAACAAGTCAAATTTTGTTTTGTATGTTCAACTCGAATTTTTTTCTGATTTTATTTTAAGAATGCTTAAATAATGTTGGATTATGAAAAAAAAAATATAATTGGTTTGAATTTAAGCTGTTACAAAAACTGGCTTTTTCTCCACTTTTTAAAAATGACAGATGTCCATTTTTTATCTGAGCCACTCAATTAAATATACTTAAAAAATAAAATAGCCAAGTTTAAATTACCGCAATCAAGATATGCTGATTGTCATAGTTTAATGTTGAGAGTGATATTTAATGCTTTGTATGTTCTTCTGATTTTTTTTTTAATTCCATATTAATATGAGTTCACAAAAAATGTTATTTTAAAATTTTTAATTTTTATTTAGAGGGAGGAAAATATTGAAAATAAAAGGGAAAAAATTGATCTCGTTGAA